CAAATAGCAATGGATACCATTATTCCAACAGCTAGACCCTTCTTTGATCTAAAGATATAGATTCTCAATTCCTAATTGCTGTGACGCGTAAAATAGAATACTAAAAAATAATAATAATCAAAATACTGGAAAGAAAAGAGTAGACAAGGAATGAAAATAGATCCTTGGTCTATGATACAAAAATGGGGGAAATCCAGATCAAACTCGGATTTATCTTACTTAACCTTAGGTTAATTTACTTCGCCTAAAGGGAAGAAAATTTTCCGAACCCTCGGTTTCAGTCTGAGGTTTAAGTCTGACGAGAATAATATTCTACGACTAGCAATTCATTTATTTTCAAACCGACCCATTTACTATCTATTATTTGATTGACTAATCCTTTATATTGGAATGGGTGAAGGGTCAAATGGTTTGGTAATTCCTCATGAGGGGATGAATCGAGAGAAATTTGAATCAGAGCTCTGGATTTTTGTTCATCCTTTGCCGTAATAATATCTCGGGGTTTGCAGCGATAACTCGGTATATCTACTATACGACCATTAACTAAAATATGTCGATGGTTAACTAATTGACGGGCTGCGGGAATAGTTGAAGCCATACCCAATCGAAAAAGGATGTTATCCAAACGCATTTCAAGTAATTGTAGTAAAACTTGACCTGTTGACCCCTTGGCTTTTCTGGCGATACGAACGTATTTAAGTAATTGTCGTTCTGTAAGACCATAATGAAAACGCAATTTTTGTTTTTCTTCTAGACGAATACGATATTGAGATTTTTTCCCGGAACGCGATTGGTTTCTAAGATCACTTCCGTTCCTAGGCTTTTTATTAGTTAGTCCTGGTAAAGCCCCCAGGCGGCGTATTTTTTTGAAACGAGGTCCTCGGTAACGCGACATAAAGACTCCTTATTCTTATTTCTTATTTAGTATTTCGAATTAATTCTTATTTCTATTTATTTTATTTTTTATTGAATTTTATTTTACAGAATAAACCTAAACTAAAACTAAACTGAACTAAATGAAGCGAAGTTTACTGAAATAGTGTACTTGTACTATTACTATAAAGAAAAGAAGAATGGGATGAATTGGATAAATATACAGACCCCCTTCTATTATATATATAATCCTTTCCCGACATAATTGGAAGTTCCTATAATAAATTGATAGCTTTTGGAAAAGGAAGAAGGCGCTATTTCAATATTCTTTGATTTCAAAGGAACATTATCAATCATCTAAAAAATGGAATAAAAAAAAAAGAATAGGGAAAAGCCGGCTATCGGAATCGAACCGATGACCATCGCATTACAAATGCGATGCTCTAACCTCTGAGCTAAGCGGGCCCACATAACAGAAATCTTATATGCATAGTAATTGACTAAACTATTGGAATTGGAATCTTAGTTATTAACTATTCAATATTATATTGAATATTCTAGAACATAAGGATTAATATAGCGATATAGAATTTCGATTTATCACAATTCTAATAACAATTCTAATACTAATATTATTAAATAGTGATTGTAAATATTGTTAATATTCTTTTTTTTTCATTTTCCATTTGAATGGTAAATGTTCTTTTTCATTTCTTTTTTTGTCATTTGAAATCCTTTTGATTTTTTATTACAGTTCTATATTTTATTCTATATCATATATATCTCTCATTCTATATTTATTTCAAATTCTAATTGTTTAATGGAATGGTTAGTTATAACTAATGAGACATTCCTCCGCTTTCAGGCGAAAGTGAAGATAAAAAAAAAGAATCGACCGTTCAAGTATTCCAAATTGAATGGCAAAATGGCAGGAAGAGAGACATATAGATGGGGTATATATCCATCTATATTGAATTGCGGATTCCGAAATGATAAAATCATTTTTGATTGGACAAAAAAAGGTCTCCTATAGAAGATAGTTAAGAAAATCAAAGAGGAGAAAACACGTTTTCGAGATAGGAATCGGTATCTAATGAATTCAATGGTTCCAGTATAAATGAAAGAAAAAGAAAAAGGAATGACATCACAACGAGATCCTAATCTCAAAAAGAAAGGGGGATATGGCGAAATCGGTAGACGCTACGGACTTAATTGGATTGAGCCTTGGTATGGAAACTTACTAAGTGATCACTTTCAAATTCAGAGAAACCCTGGAATTAACAAAAATGGGCAATCCTGAGCCAAATCCTGTTTTCCGAAAACAAACAAAGGTTCAGAAAAAAAGGATAGGTGCAGAGACTCAATGGAAGCTATTCTAACAAATGGAGTTAAATGCGTTGGTAGAGGAATCTTTACATCGAAACTTCAGAAAGAAAAAGAATGAAGTGAAGGATAAACGTATATACATACGTATTGAATACTATATCAAAATCAAATGATTAATGATGACCCGAATCTGTATTTTTTCTATAAAAAATAGAAGAATTGGTGTGAATCGATTCTACATTGAAGAAAGAATCGAATATTCATTGATCAAACCATTCACTCCATAGTCTGATAGATCTTT